CCACAACAACAGCAACCAATATGTTGTCCTCCACCACAACAGCAACCAATGTACTGTCCTCCAATACAACAGCAGCCACCACCAATGTACTGTCCTCCACAACAACAGCAGCAGCCAATTTACTGTCCTCCACCACAACAACAACCACAAATGTATTGTCCTCCACCACAACAGCAACCAGTGTATTGTCCTCCACAACAACAGCAACCAGTATACTGTCCTCCACAACAACAGCAGCAGCCAATATACTGTCCTCCACCGCAGCAGCAACCAGTGTATTGTCCTCCACAACAACAGCAACCAGTATACTGTCCTCCACAACAACAGCAGCAGCCAATATACTGTCCTCCACCGCAGCAGCAACCAGTGTATTGTCCTCCACAACAACAGCAGCAGCCAATGTACTGTCCTCCACCACAACAGCAACAAGTATACTGCCCGCCACCACAACAACAACCACAAGTATACTGTCCGCCACCACAACAGCAACCACAAATATACTGTCCTCCACCACAACCGCAACCACAAATATATTGCCCTCCCCCACCTCCTGTATGTGTTCCTGTATGCTGATATACGGAACGACTGATTTGCGATCCTTGTCTGGAACCTCTTTGTACAGAGGAATATCAGCAAACAATGATGCGAATACAATAATGTGCAACTTCAATGTTTCAGAAAGGAAAAGACTGGCTGTTGGTAATTGTGATTAAACCTATTCAGACATAAGTTTTATTTTTCGTTAGAAAAATTCAACTGATAAATGTAATAGCTATTCACTGATTAAAGACTCTATTAGAAAAAATAAAAATAAAATTTGCATTGATTTCTTCAATTTTTTCTTCAATATTTTGATAATACACATTATTTAATATTTCACTTTCAAATCTTCTTCTGTTAGTGAGTCAAGATTCAATAATATTCTTTGTAAAATATACACATAGTAATGGCATTCAAAGATTGATGATAAATTAAAAATATATTGACGAAAAAATCGTTTATAATATTAACACTATTATTTAATGGAAATGAATGTGCCAATGAAATAAGTAGATAAAACAATGATATTGTTACCAGTTTGTTTATACTTTTACATCATCGATAAGTATCATGAATGATATTTTGTAATATTTTCTTCTTCTTATTTGAACACGGAGGTTTTCTCTAATAACTCATATTTTTATCTTCACACATCAATTACGTAAATCTCAAAACTTAATATCTGATTCCAACTTGTATAATATATAAAATCTATATTATACAAATATTTGTTAGATAACAAAAAATCATCGTAGTAAAGTTTCCAGGTCAATGAAGATATCAAAGATTGAAAATATTCTTGGGATACATAACTAAATTTATATACCTTCACCTTTGATAACGGTTGATTTGTTGAGAAAAAATAACGAACGAAATATATATAGAAAAAACTTCATGTTTCTGTAGATACGTAACATTGGTTATCATAAAATGTACCTTAACGATATTTACAAATGTCATAGTTAATAAAGGCAAGTAGAAATGAACAAAGATTGTTAATTGATATGGAAACTACATCAACAAAATTACAGAGAAGTAATATATTTCTTTTAAAAACAAGCATTTTTTAAGAGGCAAATAAAAAAAAATATTTCTTTTGTGAAATTTGTATACTGTTAACACATTACCAACAACAACTTACAAATACATGAGGAGCAATATATATGACAATTTACATACGGTTGTATTTGAACTGAATATTATACAGTTGTTATTGAGAGTAAATATATATACAGAGAAACGTCTTGACGGACAACGTAACGATTTTATATTTAAATTTTAACTAAAAGCG